TGGACATTTTAACAATATTAAGTCTTCCCGTGCATGAACATGGGATGTCTTCCCATTTATTTGTGTTATCTTTCAAAAATGTTTTGTAGTTTTAAGATTACAAGCTTTTAACTTTCTTGGTTAAGTTTATTTTTAAATATCTTATTCTGTTGATACTATTGTAAATAAAATTGCTTTCTTAATTTTCTTTTCAGATTTTTGTATATTGATTTTGTGTCCTATAACTTTGTTAAATTTATTAGTTCTAACAGCTTTCTTTCCAGCTTTAAAGAGATATGATTAACATATAATGATGCATAAATTTAAGGTATACAATGTACTGATTTGATACACATATATATTGCAAAATCATTAACACAAAAAGTTAATAATATCTATGAATTCACATAATTACCTTTTTTGTTGTTGTGAGAACATTTAATATCTACTCTGTTATCAACTTTGAAGTATATAATACAGGATTGTTAACTATAGTCAACATGCTGTACATTAGATCCCCAAAACTTATTCACCTTATAACTGGAAGTTGGTACTCTTTGACTAACATCTCCCCATGTCCCCTACTCCCAGCACCTGGATTAGCATTCTAGTCCCTGTTTACATGAGTTTGGTTTTTTGAGATTCCATGTATAAGTGAGATCATACAGTATTTGTTTTTCTCTGTATGATTTATTTCACTTAGCATAATCTCTAAATTCAACATGTTGTTGCAAATAGCACATTTCCTCTTTTTTTAATGGCTGAATAATATTACATTATATACGTACATTGAATTTGCTTGATCTATTCATCCATCTATGGACACTTAAGTTTTTTCCATATTTGGCTATTGTAAATAATGCTGCAATGAACAAGGGGGTATAAATATCTCTTCAAGATAGTGATTTCATTTCCTTCAATGTATACCAAGAAGTGAGATTGCTGGATCACATAGAAGTTTTATTTAAAATTTATTGAGTAACTTCCATAGCATTTTTCATAGTGGCTACACCTATTTACATTCTCATCAATAGTATACATGGGTGTCATTTCTACACATCTACAACATTTATTATCTCTTTTCTTTTGATGTTAGCCATCCTAATAGTTGTGAGGTGATATCTTATTGTGGTTTTGATTTGCATTTCTTTAATGATTAGTAATGTTGAACATCTTTTCATATACTTATTGTTTATTTATATGGTTTTGGGGGGGAATGTCTGTTTATGTCCTTTGCCTATTTCTTAATCAAATTATTTTTTTTATGTTTTATTTATTTACTTATGTTTTATTTATTTATCTATTTATTTTTTGTTGTTGAGTTGTATAAGTTTCTTATATATTTTGGATACTAACCCCTTACCTGGAAACTGGTTTACAAATATTTTCTTTTGTTCTGTAGGTCACATTTTCATTTTGTTAACTGTTTCTTTTATTGTGGAGGGCCTTTTAGCTTGTCGTAGTACTACTTGTTTATTTTTGCTTTTGTTGTCTGTGCTTTTAGTGTCATATCCAAAAATTATTGCAAAGACCAAATTCAAAGAGTTTTACCTCGATGTTTTATTTTAGGAGTTTTACAGTTTCAGAGTCTTACATGTGTCTTTAAACCATTTCAAGTTAATATTTGAGGGTGATGTAAGATAGTGATCCACTTTCATTCTTTTGCATGTGACTGTCTAGTTTCCCCAAAACCATTTATTGAAGAGACTATCCTTTCCCCAGTGAGTATTCTTGGCTCCCTTGTCAAATATAGTTGTGTTAATTTTAAGGTATCATCTAGTAGACATAAACATCTCAAAAAAGTCATCTATATTTGAAGAATATCTATTTTGACAGTGTTAATTTATATTCTAGTAAAACAAAAGTTTATAAAGGCCCACATAGAATATTGCAAGTAGTATCCTCAGCATTTAATAAAGCTCAGTAGAAAACATTGCCTTTTAAAAAAAAAAAAAAAAAGTATTTTTCAGGATCTATTACAAAGCACTCTGTTTTCCCTGGAGTTCTCCATAGCATATTTTTTACACAAAACAATGGAATAACTCTTCATTTGACTTCAGCGCACATTGCAAAATTCGGAGTTATAAATAGAAAACTTAGAAATTGCATTCAAATTATTTTTTATTTTCTCTTTTCTCCTTTCTCAGCCTCTAAAACGAGTATTAATCCCCTAAAATTACTAATATACTATTTCAAAACTCCAGGAACACATACACTATATTTCTAAAAGTATTGACTTTAATTGAAATCATTGCATCATTTGAATCTCAATAAACAAAGCCATTTTTTCATTAGATGTTAATTTTGACAAAAAGCCCAGAGTTACATACATCAATGAAAAATAAAATAATTTGAAGTAAAAGACGTTTGCTTTTAATAATAAGGTACTTTGGAATTAAGATACACTATAAATATCTTCTGGGTAAGTGCTTTAGGCTATAATGTTTCTTGTCTTTTTAGAAGTCTTCAAAATTAGTCTTTTTTTTAAATGCCCCTTTTATCTGAAACTTGTTCTATTCACTGGAATAGAGGCATAGAAATGATTTTTTCTGCTTAGGTTAATGTGTTCACACAACAGGTGTCTAAGCTGAAGCAAAAATGTCAAATATCTGAGAGATAGCAATGTTTGTGATTACAAATTCTTTTAAACAAAAGAAATCACTAACACTGTTTTAGTAAAAACTCAAGTAATACCAGTTTTGGGCATGAGAACCAACTCATTTTATAATAGTTAGTTAGAAGTCTGAGCTCTTTGCAAAAGGACGCCATTTTAAACTTACTTGCCATCTAATTTACCCCGACATACACATGCATATTTCACTGGAGCAAGCAACTTACGAACATAATTCCATTATAACTGTTTCATTAAACAAGAGATTTGTCAACTGAATGCATCTTATACTTTTTTTTGTGGGAGATCATCCGTTCTGATAGCTTAAATGTGCAATGAAATGATACATTTAGAAGTCTGGAAAACCTGTGGCTCCCTACATAGATGTTTTGTCTTCAGAAGACTGGGACTGTTGTAATTATCATAGGAAATTACTATGTCTCGCATATTATAAACATTACCTGTAACTACTTTTTAATCACAAAAACATCACATCAAAAATGTACATATTCTTGTTCTCTAAAATTAATTAGAATATTTGGGAACAAAAACAGATTCTCTTCTTTTAAAACTCTTCAATATCAAGCTACAGGTATACTTAAGCTGTTATAGTAATACTAAAATGGGAGATAGGTGTTTGCTTTTTAAAATTATTGAAATATATAAAATGCTTTGGCCGATAACATTACTATTCCATGATGAGCAGCATACAAAAATTAATGTCAGGGAAATTTGTGTATTGTGTAATACCGTTGGCTGAGAAACAGCTTCCCTCCACTGGAATACTTCCTTTATGTCAGAGAATCTCAAGACAATACATGAGAAATTCTTAAGCCTGCGTGTTCAATTTAAATTAATTCAAAATTAATCGCACCTTATCTCAATAAAATTACCTACAGAAAAACAATCTAGATAGATTAAAAAGATAACATAGAGACCCAGATGGAAAAATGAGACTAATAATTTTCAAAGAAATAATCACTACAGTTAAAATCTAGTGATACTAAATTGTTTAACATTTACAAGTAATTTACCACTTCTTGGAGAGGTACTACTTAGGAGAGTAGAAAAACAAATTTGAATTCTGATAACCTAAATACAATTTCACTGATAAATGAGAAATAAGATGGAACACATCTGAACTTATAAAATTAAAAAAATTATTGGAAGCACAAAAACTGACACATATATTTTAAAAGAATTATGTCTCTCAGTGAAGAAAATTCTGTCTGCGATGGGAATTCATGGGTTATAACTCCCGCCTTCCTGTAATAATATTGGTGTTTTGGCTTGTTCTCTTATCCAACGCGCTGTCCTGAGACTGTTCCTTACACCTTGCATTTTCTTTTTTCTTTAGAGCTATAAAGAACCACCCTAACTCTGTTCAATCTAAAAATTTCCACCTATGACTTCTTTTTCTTTATGCAGAATTTCATTGTCCAGTATCTGAATACATCATTATCTTATTTCCTGGGACTCTCAGATCCACAAGGGAATGACAACTGGCAATGGATTGATCAGACACATTATGAGGAAAATGTCCGGTGAGTGCAGATTCAGATTAATGAACCACAGGGCTTTGTTTCCATAGAAAATGTAAGGAAATTTTGTTAGCAACAACTATTAATGCTAATACTAACCATTATATTGATGATAACAGATTCTAAGTACATCCATTATCATACTTAATCTTCATGAAAACTTCTTTTTCAGAACTCATTTTACTAATGAAAAATGGAACAACTTTCCTAGGGTCATAACTAGTAAGATGAGAAGCTGCATCTCAACTCCATGTCTATCTAACTCCAAAGATGACATGCTCTTAATTGTTCCAGTTTGCTGCCTCCAAACATATGGAGACACTTCAATTAATTTTTTCTCTAATTGATAAGATTTAAAATACTTGGGTTAGGACTATGTTCAATTCTAATAGGATAATTATATAATAATACTATTATATCATTTGTGGCTTTGGAAAAAAACAGAATTTAATTATACATTATTTCATTGATTCTCATACAATCTTGTGACCTATTTGAGGACCTCATTATAATTTTTATTTTTATTAACAAAGAATCTAATACCTGAGACTAAGTTATGTGATTAAGATCTAAAAAAGACAGCAGCAAAATCAGTTCTCTTAATTTCAAAAATGAAGTCCTGCTCCCTCATCCCTACCACAGATTGTATTCCTTGGAAGCAAGGTAAATTCTCATGTCCAGACTCAAACACCCTGACACTTTTTTAGGGTAGCTCCATGAGAATGGAGGAATTTAGGAAGGTGATAAAAGTACCCAAATGAAGGAGGCAGCCTCTTTATTACATGACACTAAGAAAGGAATTGTTTAACAACTCATATTAGGGCTCTGTATATAGGAAGAAGTAAAGATCAGATTCCAGGGAAAAGGTCCAATGTTACTGTATTCCATAAAAATTTTGCCAGAATGTTAGAGGAGCAATTATAAAAGTATGCATTCACACTTGGGGCTTTTGAGGAGGGCAGTATGAGAAGAGGAAAGCAATCGTTGGGATGTTCTTTCACCCTGAAACCTATTCTCTTCAACCCTAACCCTACATACTTCATAATCAATCACCATGCATTCATTGAAGTGTTTTTATCCTTTGTTTCTTTTTAGATTGTGGCACGAGAGTGAGCCCAATTTTTCTGCAGAAGAATGTGCTTCAATTGTTTTCTGGGGTTCTAGAGGATGGGGCTGGAATGATGTTTTCTGTGATTCTAAAAGGAATTCAATATGTGAGATGAAGAAGATTTATCTATGAGTGAAACTTTATTCATAGACACCTTAAAATTGAGGCCTGTCATAAAATGATTTCCTCTTGTAGTTGATATATAATTCTTACCATAATAGTACACGGAAACATCCAGATGCCCTTCTCCTTTCAATCATCCTTCTTATCGTTTCCTTTTTTCCACCAATGATAAAGCAAGCTCTTCCTTGTTTTTCTTTTTTCTTTAATTTGTTATGCCTCACCTTCTTTACTTCCTTCATACTTCTTTTTGTAAACACTCTCTGTGCCAGAGATGGTACTATTTTGTTTATTAGAAGACTTATAAGGAAATATGTATTGAAAATTATGACCGATCTTCCTCAAACGCCATTGAGAAATCCTTTTGGTCAAAATGGTGACTGGTCAAGGTGGTGACTGGGACTAGGATCTACTTCCTAGATGTCTCACTCCTGTGGCTGGCAACTTGGTACTGGCTATTATTAAAAGGCCTTAGTTCTTCACCTTAGGGAACTCTCCATAGGGTTTCTTGAGTGTTCTCACAATATGGTGGTTGGCTTCCACCGGAGTAAGTAATCCAACAGAGCAAGTGAAAGCAGCAACGTTTTTTACGATCCAGCTTTAGAAGTCAAACACAGTAACTTCTGGTGCATTCCATTGGTCACATAGGCCAAACCCGATATACTGAAGAAGGGGATTACATAAAGGCATGAATAGCAGATGAAAATTACTGAGGGCTACCATAGCAGGATTTCTTTTAAAAGATACAAAATATATGTGCCAAGAAGGAAAATAATTAAAAATAATTCTACATTAAAATTATAAATTTGTGTTCATTAAAATAAAGGAAAATTTTTAAGGTTGAATGGGAGAAAATATTTCAAATACTTATAACGAACAGCGTTGATGCCAAATACATATAAATGATGGTCACAAATAAATTAGAAAGACAAAAAATGGGCAAAATATTTGAAAAGCATTTTACAAAAGAGGAAATACATAATCCAATAAATATGTTTTATAGAGATGTTCAGCTTTACTCATAATTTGAGAACTGCAAGTAAAAACAGTAATAATATACCATTTCATATCCATTTACATGACAAAAAATAAGAAAAACATAATACCAGGAGTTGGAGGAAATATCTTGGATCTCTCTTTTTGAGAGAGAAATTTTTTTTTTTAGTTTCGAAATTTATTTATTTTAATTTACTTGTTTTTCAAAATTTATTTTTCAATTATAGTTGATGTACAATATTATATTAGTTTCAGGTATACAATTTAGCGATTAGACATTTTTATATCTTACAAAGTGATCACCCCAATAAGTCTAGCACCTAACTAGCACCATCTGTAGTTATTACAATGTTATTAGCTATATTCCTTATGGTGTACTTTACACCCCCACGACTATTTTTATAAATATCTATCTGTACTTCTTATCTTAATCCCTTTCACCTTTTTTGCCTATCCCCTACCCCCTCCCATTTGGCAACTATCAGTTTGTTCTCTGTATCTATGAGATGAATTTTCTTCTGGTTTTTTTTTTTTTTTTGGTCGTTTATTTTGTTTTTTAGATTCCACATATAAGTGAAATCATATTGTATTTGTCTTTCTTTGTCTGACTTATTTCACTTAGCATAATACCCTCTAAGTCCATCCATGCTGTTGCAAATAGTAAGATTTCATTCTTTTTTATGGGCCAATAATATTTCAAATATGTACCACATCTTCTTTATCCATTCATCTGTCAATGGACACTTAGATTGCTTCCATATCATGGTGATTATAAATAATGCTGCAATAAACTTAGGGTTGCATATATTTTTTTTGAATTAGTGTTTTGGATTTATTTTGAATAGATACCTGGAAGTGGAATTGCTGGGTCTTGTGGTAGATGTATTTTTAATTTTTTGATGAATTTCCATACTGTTTTCTACAGTGGCTGTACCAATTTAAATAGAATCTCTTATACACTGTTAATTTGAGTTTATATCAGTACAACCACACTGAAAAGTACATAAATCTACAAGTTTTCTATATAAACATCATCCAATAAATGCTTTATTGAGAGAGACTAAGATCTATGAAATATGGGTATTAAAATGAGGAGTTGTTCCATGGGGATAACTTTAACGAAGGAGGCCTTCTGCATAGTATACTTATATTATTTAGGCACACATATGGTAAAAGTGAAAACAAATCAAGAATTTAATAAACACAAAACATCCATATAATGGTTACGCTTGAATGGTAGGCAGGGAGCGGAACTGGGAGGAGCATATAGGCATGTGATAAAGTTTTATTTTTTGTTTTGGGCAGTGGTGTTCATATAATAAACATCAACCACAACAAAATAAAATAATAATGTCAAGAAGATAGTCTATTATAACTCTCAAATTATGATTAAAATGTTCTTGTGCATCTATAGTCCATATTATTATGATATCACTTTCTTTAACTTTATCAAAGCCTTTGGCTTAGTTTTCCTCTTGTTATTAAAATAGATACTCAAATTCCTTTAAGTTAGTGTTCTGTGTTCTGAGGTATTTCCTTTTTCTTTCCTTTATTTTTGACTTTTCTTGACCCTTCTGTTTTAGATGTGCTTCTTGTAAACAACACATAGTTAAATTTTTAAAAATTCCGTCTGACAACTCATTTTTTAGGTGGCAAAATTAATGCACTTACACTTATGGCAATTCTTTATGATTTTTAAATTTATCATTGTACTATGTGGTTTCCATTTTTCCCATCATGTTCTATGTTCCTTCCCACTCCTGCTTTTTTGTCTTTTTTTAGATGAGTTATTTTTAAATTGTTCTTTTTTTCTTTTGTTATTTTGGGAATTATATATGTTTTTACTATTTTATTAGTGGTTACTCTAGAAATTCTAACATGAAGCAAATGACCTATCAAATCTAGTGTTAGCTGATGCTTTGCTGGATACTGTAAGAATCTTAAAACATGTTAACTCCATTGCCACTCCTCTACTTGTAATCTATTCTTGTCATGTATTATAATTTTCTTTATTCTTTATATCTTAAAATTTTTATTTTACTTGTTTTATATAGTCAATGTCTGTGTAGATTTATCTACATATTTACCACTTTTAAATTTCTCTTTACTCATTCCTTCATCTCAAGCCTCAAACCTGGAATATTTTTTCTTCTATCTATATAATAATCTTTATATTTTCATTTATATCAGTCTTCTGATGAGAAATTTTTTCAGAGTTTATTTTACTGAAAATGTTTTTATTTCATATTTACTCTTGAAGATAATGTTTGCTGGGTATAGAATTCTGTTGGTAATGAATTTCTTTCTGCTCAACAAAATTATCATTCAACATCTTCTGGTTTTCATAATTGTGCTTAAGAAATTAGCAATTTAACTAAATTTTAATCCTTTGAAAGTAATTTCCCTTTTCCTTTGACCATTTTTAAGATATTCTTTTTGTCCTTTCTCTCCTGCAGTTTTATCATAATATGTCTAGGTATGGATTTCCTCCTTTCCGCCCTCCCTCTTGACCTCCATACTTTTTTATTCCTTCCTTTCTATCCTTTCTTTTCTTCTTCTCACGTTCCTCCCTCATCCCCCTCCTAACTCTTCTTCCCTTTTCTCCTCCTCTTTCTTCCTATTGTTCTGTTCTGCTTTAGATTCTTTGGGCTCCTTGAGCATGTTGATTGATGTACATCTTTGGTGTTAAGAAAATCTTCAGCTATTATTTCTCTAATTCTCTTTTTTTTCTTTTTCTGTCATTTCATTTAAATATATGTTAAGACTTTGTATCATCTTCTGTGTCTCTCGTTCATCTTCTGCATTTTTTTTTCATTTTTTTCTCATGCTTTCTTCTCTATTTTTGAAAGTGTATCCCACACAGTAAAATATTCATGGATCTCATTGTTATTTATTGTTTCCTTCCTTAAACTCTAAAACACATCTGCAAACTTATGATGTTGCTCATCTTTCTGGGTAAGATGACTTATGTTTCTTCCTAAGATATTATTTACTTCACAGAAAAACTTCCAGTGAAAATTTACCTTGCAACAACATAGATGGACCTTGAGATAATCATTCTAAGCGATATAAGCCAGACAGAAAAATTGAAAACCACATATCACTTATATGTGGGATATAAACCTAAAATCAACAAACAAACAGGACAAACAAGCAGAGACTCATGGACATGGACAATAGATTAGTGGTTACCAGAGAGTAGAGGGGAGGGCGGATGGAGAAGGTTGATGGGGTAAAAGGGGTCAAATATGTAAAAGTGGAAGTTATGTAAATTACATCAAGTGAATTTTTAAAAAGTAAAAAAAGAAAAAAGAAACTTTACCTTGAAGACTAGCGATAAATGTAAATGCTTGTTCATATTTCGATGGCATATAATCTAATTACTTTATGTCTTATATATGCTTTTCATTTGCATGACGTGACATAGTAATCAAATAGTGAAACTTCATGTGAAACAGCAAGCAAATAATTTAACATATTTGGAGAAGCCCTTAACATTCTTTTGTTTTTAAATGTACTTTTGCTTGTATTTTTCTCAATATAATGAAAAAAGCTTTTAAATCTTTGGGAACTTTAGCCCTTAACAATACAACTTCTTCTGAAGTGGATTTTACATTTGAATTTTCTGACTAGAAAACTTCAGAGTGACTAAGGTCTGACTTCTCTGAATAAATCCAGGTTTCCTGGATAAAAACTTCATGGAAACAGACATAAGAGGCCCTCTCACTATGGGGGTACACGTACGGTGTTTCTAAAACAATGACCTCAAAGTGGAAGTGAGAACTGATTTTCTTTTCCGTTTCTGATAGGAAAGTAGAAGTAAAAACAAGAATGGAAGATTGAGAATTAATGTTGATTCCAAGTGTAATGTTCTCTAAAGTAAGTAAACAAACAAGTGAGAATTATAACAGATGATTTTAGTACTGAAATAGAGATTAGAATACAATAATAGGTTTGGAAAAGGTGAAATTAGAAAAATAACTCAGACACAAGCAATTGAAAGGATAAGAAAAACATATATCAT